ATATATATATATATATATATACATGCATGGATGCATAAACATACCAACCAAGAGTAAAGCTTTTAAAACAAAGCCAAACCTGTAAGAAATAACAAAGTAATGTAAAAACAGGGCGATCTGAAGTCGTGCCAACTCTGCCCCAGGACACAAACGAGCTCCTCCTCCAAATGGTGAATAAAATGGACTAGTTCTCCAATTTCTCTTGTCCTTTTATCAATATAACTAAGGTTCTTAATATGGTATAAAGGAAAAGTACACGTGTAACAAAATATATAAAATGAAATATATATATAAAACTTACTTGGTTTTGGGGATCCATCCATCTCCAAGGATTAAAACTATTTGCCTTTTCATGAAAGTTTTCGTCTTGATGGATTGCCGAAAGAAATGGAACCACAAAGCTTCCTTTGGGGATAACGTAATCTACATATGTCCGTAAGCAAATTAACCAAGTAATTGCCATGAGTGAGCATGAGATATTGCTTTTGAATTATCATATTCTTATTATTCTTATTGAATGGACGACAAACACGTATGTAACAACATAACTTAACCAAGTAAGGCATAGCAAGGGCATGTTTGAGATTTGCTTATTTAAAAAAACGCATATTTTTTTAGTAAAAAGTGCTTGCGTATAAGACAAATTAAATTGTGTTTATAAGTGTAAGGAGGAAATAATTTATCTCAAACCCCTTATTTAAATCAATAAGTATTTATGAAATCTTTTATATCCAAACACTTACAACTCTATATTATGGATGTCAAATTGTAATAGGTCAATAAACACTTCCAATAAACAATCCAAAACACCATGACTTTATATTGTTTATGATAGTTATATAAAACTTGAAGTGAAAATAAATATACCTTGATATTCAACATCCTCTTTTGCCTCCCTCATCAACCAAATTGCTATCCCACCTAGGCGAAGAGTTTCATCGATAACCTGCATCAAGTGACATTAATAGTGGTTATGATATGTGCTTATACAATTAACTATACAAATGTTTCATGTAACAATAAAAAATTAGAAACTCTTTCAGAATGCAGATTAAAGTTGATCATAATAAATAAGAGCATAGTTCTATTAATAACATGTAATAAGAGTCTTCCATATAACTAATAAAACATAAATTGAAAGGAAACGAGTAATGAGACTACTTACATTCTGCGTAAATGACATCGATTTGTAGTCTTCCCATTTTAACATATATGTTTCACCATCCGAATCAAGTCTTTTATTCCTTATGTTTTGGTGCTCCTCCTATATACATGATTAACAAAAGTATAAGATTTAAAAGATGAATAAAATACATCCTCAAAATATATCTTTACTATCACATTACATGGTTTTGTATGTTGCAAAAAGTATACTCTCCAAATGATAAGGGAGAGCCAATGCAGCTACTTCGACGATAAGATCAGTATATTGTATATAAATATATAATACATAAACTAAAATATATAAATGCCTAAAGGAATACAAGTATATATGTTCCATTTTGAATAAATTAAATTAATGGACAAAATGAAGTATGTTCTATTTAGATAAAGTATATTCTAATATATTCTCTTTTCATTATATATATTATATATATTTTTTAAAACATAGTTAGCTTATATGTTATCTTATTTTTAAGGTTTAGATTGTCATGTCAAACCAAAATATAATTTATAAGCTAGTTTTTTAAAAATCTATTCATCTTAGCATTTCAATGAGCTTAGTGAGTGTTCTTTTAACTCTTCTAAATATATCATTTATTAATTATAAAAATACTCAATCTCTATATATCATTTTATGTGGTCATATTACATATTTCACCTACCTTGTCACCTAGCTTATTAATCAGCCATCAACTAGCATCAACTAGCTTTTTAGTTCGTCAAATGTAGCGTTAATGGTAAGTTTGGATGTCTTCATATATTTATATAA